TCCCAGTTAACCTGCAGGAAGTGGAGGACCTCACACTGGGAGATGTCTGAGATCCTGCAGCAAACATCCCTGCCCTTGTGAAAGGTATTATAGGATTCTCAGGCTGTCTACACTAGCACTTTTGTTGGTATAACTTATTTTGCTCAGGGGTGTGAAAAAAATCACACCCCTGACTGACACAAGTTTTACCGACAAAAGCTCTGGTGTGCACAGTGCTATGTCAGAGGGAGACGCTCTCCTGCCGATATAGCTACCACTGCTCATTGGGAGTGGTTTAATTATGCTGGCGGGAGAGCTCTCTCCCATCGGCGTAGAGCGGCTACGCTGGAGACCCTACAGTGGCACAGCTGCAGCGGTGTAGTTGTTCAATATATTCATTAATAATCTGGAGGATGGCGTGGACTGCACCCTCCACAAGTTTGTAGATGACACTAAACTGGGAGGAGAGGTAGATATGCTGGAGGGCAGGGATAGGATACAGAGGGACCTAGACAAATTGGAGGATTGGGCCAAAAGAGATCTGATGAGGTTCAACAAGGACAAGTGCAGAGTCCTGCACTTAGGATGGAAGAATCCCATGCACCACTACAGACTAGGGACCGAATGGCTCGGCAGCAGTTCTACAGAAAAGGACCTGGGGTTACAGTGGATGAGAAGCAGGATATGAGTCAACGGTGTGCCCTTGTTGCCAAGAAGGCCAATGGCATTTTGGGCTGTATAAGTAGGGGCATTGCCAGCAGATCGAGGGACGTGATCGTTCCCCTCTAGTCGACATTGGTGAGGCCTCATCTGTAGTACTGTGTCCAGTTTTGGGTCCCACACTACAAGAAGGATGTGGAAAAATTGGAAAGAGTCCAGCGGAGGCCAACAAAAATGATTAGGGGGCTGGAACACATGACTTATGAGGAGAGGCTGAGGGAACTGGGATTGTTTGGTCTGCGGAAGAGAAGAATGGGGGGGGATTTGGTAGCTGCTTTCAACTACCTGAAAGGGGGCTCTAAAGAGGATGGATCTAGACTGATCTCTGGTAGCAGATGACAGAACAAGGAGTAATGGTCTCAAGTTGCAGTGGGGGAGGTTTAGTTTGGATATTAGGAAAAAGCTTTTTCACGAGGAGGGTGGTGAAGCACTGGAATGGGTTACCTAGAGTGGTGGTGGAATCTCCTTCCTTAGAGGTTTTTAAGGACAAAGCCCTGGCTGGGATGATTTAGCTGGGGTTGGTCCTGCTTTGAGCCAGGGCTTGGACTCGATGACCTCCTGAGGTCCCTTCCAACCCTGATATTCTATGATTGATTCTACACAAGGGATTGGAGGGCTGGAGAAAATGCCTTAAGTGAGAGACTTAAAGAACTCCAATCTGTTTAGTTTAGTTTAAAAAAAAATCAAGAGGTGACTTGATTAGCATGTAAGTACCTTCATAGGAAAAAAAGAGCAGATACTAAAAGACTCTCTAATCTAATGGAGAAAGGCACACAAGGACCAATGGCTGGAAGCTGACGCCAGACAATCAAATTAGTAATTAGGCACAAATGTTTCCTATTGAGGGTGACCTACAACTAGGACAAACTCCCAAGGAAGTGGAGGCCTTTCTGGAAGAGATGCTTTAGTCAAGCACAAACTACTGGTCGCAATAGCGGGGTAAATGAATAAAATTATCTGGCCAGTGATAGACAGGAGATCAGACTAGTGGTATGTCTACACTGCAATTAAAACCCACAGCTGGGCCATGCCAGCTGACTCGGGCTCATCGGGCTGTGGGGCTGTTTAATTCCACTGTAGGCTTCCGGGCTTAGGCTGGAGGCTGAGCACTAGGACCATGTGAGGTGAGAGGGTTCCAGAGATTAGGCTGGAGCCTGAGCCAGAATGTCTACAGCCCAATTAAAGAACCCTGCAGTCTGAGTCAACAGAATGCCAAATTGCATAGATGACCTAATGGTTCCCTCTGGCCTAAAAAAAATCTGACTAAATAAAGCTACTGAAGTATCACAGGAAAGATGGCAGTTTCAGGAGCCCACGGCCAGTACACTGGGATCTGGACTCATTGAGGCCTTCTCTAGAAGAGGATTTAAAAGTGTAATGTATGCCTGTAAGATGTGTTGTCCTGGCTGGTGTTTGTAATGCGGGCTAGCATCACGCTTTTAAATATTAGTCTAGACAATATGTTGGGGGGAGAGGGTCCCCTGATGAGTCCCCACCCTACTCCTGCAGCACTGTACTTCCTAGTACCACACTGGGGCATTGGGGTCAATTTGGTTTTGTTACCATATCACACTGTGAACTCATATGTTCATTATCACACTCATGGTTTCTGCTTTCAAAGTTTCTACTTCCCATTAAATATTGGCTTGGCAGTGCCTAAACTTTCCCATCCCTCCAAGGGTCTCTACCTAATTTAGGTAATCTATTTGGCTCCAGTCATTGTAGTATCTGGTGCTGCTGAGGAGACAGAGTGGAAATCAAGGCCCGCCAAAGGGAGGCTCACAGGAAGGGTTAGAAGCCTCCACAGAGTCATGCAAGGATCTCTTTGTGGATATCTGTCTGAACTCTGAACCTTTGTATTCTCCCATCTCTGATTTGAACTGTAACTTTGCTCTGTTGATTGTGGAGTTTCTGGCTCTTAACTGAGTTTGGCAACAGTGCCTCGTAATGATGCAATATCATGGGATGATATGTGAAACAGAAGAGAGGATGGGGAGTGTTTGGTCTGAGAAGATCTTCCAGATTAACCTAGAGGTGGTGCCCTGAGAATTAAATATTTATGCTACCCTCCCGGGACTGAGCATGCACCCTCCAGCAAGCAGTGCTAGCAGCCTCTTGTTATCTGGAAAGTTGTCCCTGTGTGTGGAGCCAGTTCCGCTTGAAACCCTCTTGACCCAATAAGTCTCAGGTGTATTGGTGGCCAAGGGGAGGGGGGCTTATAAAAGCTGGCACTTCCCCCTCAGCAAAGCTGGTAGATGGGGGCAGGGCACAATACGCACTTTGATGTATAGAATGCAAGAGTCGGGATGTGACCTGAAGCTTCCCTAGAGAGCTCAGTCCTGTGGCCTGCCAGGACCCCTGGGAATAACTGACTATTGGGGAGGGGGGGTCCTGCCCCACAAGAGAGGGGCACGAGGGTGACAGCAACAGAAGTCACAACCCAAGGAAGGGGCAGAAGTGGGCTGTGCTGCATGGAGGCTGGGAAGGCAGCTGTGCCTCCTCCCACAGGCCCCTCCACCTGAGCTTGGGGAGGCTCCTAGCCGTTGCCCCCTAACAGCCCTGCCCTGTCAGAGCCCTCTCCCGCTCCCTGAAAGCCCTGCCCTGCCCCCTCTGCTCCTGCCCCTTCAGAGCCCTCTCCCACTCCCTCAGAGCCATGCCCCTCCCCTGCCCCCTCACAGTCCTGCCCCTTCAGAGCCCCCTGCCCCAGCCCTGCCCCCTCACAGCCCTGCTCCTTCAGAGCCCCCCCCCCCTCTGCTCCTGCCCCAGCCCTGCCCCCTCACAGCCCCCTCCCCCTCCCACTCTGGTCCTGCCCCTTCAGAGCCCCCTGCCCCCTCTGCTCCTGCCCCTTCAGAGCCCTCTCCCACTCCCTCAGAGCCATGCCCCTCCCCTGCCCCCTCACAGTCCTGCCCCTTCAGAGCCCCCTGCCCCCTCACAGCCCTGCTCCTTCAGAGCCCCCCTCCCCCTCTGCTCCTGCCCCAGCCCTGCCCCCTCACAGCCCCCTCCCCCTCCCACTCTGGTCCTGCCCCTTCAGAGCCCCCCTGCCCCCTCTGCTCCTGCCCTGCCCCCTCACAGCCCTGCCCCTTCAGAGCCCCCTCCCCCTCCGGTCCTGCCCCTTCAGAGCCCCCTGCCCCCTCTGCTCCTGCCTGCCCCCTCACAGCCCTGCCCCTTCAGAGCCTTCTCCTGCTCCCTGCCCCTGCTGCTCCTGCCCCAGCCCTGCCCCTTCAGAGCCCTCTGCTCCTGCCCCCGCCCTGCCCCCTCCCCCTTCAGAGCCCTCTTCTGCTCCCTGAAAGCCCTGCCCCAGCCCTGCCCCTTCAGAGCCCTCCCCCTGCCCTGCCTCCTCACAGCCCTGCCCCTTCAGAGCCCCCCTCGCCCCCTCACAGCCCTGCCCCTTCAGAGCCCTCTCCTGCTCCCTGCCCCCGCTGCTCCTGCCCCAGCCCTGCCCCTTCAGAGCCCCCTGCCCCACCCTGCCCCCTGCCCTGCTCCTTCAGAGCCCCCTCTCCCCTCTGCTCCCTGCCAAAGCCCTGCCCCTCTGCCCCCCTGCCCCTTCAGAGCCTGCCCCTTCTGCTCCTGCCCCAGCCCTGCCCCTTCAGAGCCCTCCGCCTGCCCCAGCCCTGCCCCCTCACAGCCCTGCTCCTTCAGAGCCCCCTTCCCCTCCTGCTCCTGGCCCCAGCCCCTGCCCCTTCACAGCCCCCTCTCCCCTCCCGCTCCGGTCCTGCCCCTTCAGAGCCCCCTGCCCCCTCACAGCCCTGCCCCTTCAGAGCCCCCCCCCCCTCTCTCCTGCTCCCCTGCCCCTCCCCGCTGCTCCTGCCCCCGCCCTGCCCCTTCAGAGCTCTCTCCTGCTCCCTGAAAGCCCTGTCTGCCCCCTGCCCCTTCAGAGCCTGCCCCCTCTGCTCCTGCCCCAGCCCTGTCCCTTCAGAGCCCTCTGCCTGCCCCAGCCCTGCCCCCTCACAGCCCTGCTCCTTCAGAGCCCCCCTCCCCCTCTGCTCCTGCCCCCTCACAGCCCTGCCCCTTCAGAGCCCCCTCCCCCTCCCTGCCCCCTCACAGCCCCCTCCCCCTCCCACTCTGGTCCTGCCCCTTCAGAGCCCCCTGCCCCCTCACAGCCCTGCCCCTTCAGAGCCCTCTCCTGCTCCCTGCCCCTTCAGAGCCCCCTGCCCCAGCCCTGCCCCTTCAGAGCCCCCCTCCCCCCTCACAGCCCTGCCCCTCCCCCTCACAGCCCTGCCCCTCCCCCTCTGCTCCAGCCCCCCCCCCGTGGCCGGGGCGGGGCCGCCGCTGTGATTGGCCCGGGCGGCTCCTGCCGTGGCGGTGCCCGGGGCCGAGTCGGGCCCTGCCCAGCGCCGGGGGCCGCCGCCCGCTCTCTGCTGCCGGCGGGCGGGAGGGAGGCAGGCGCGGCTCCGCGGCCGGTGAGTGGGGTCGGCCGGGCCGGGCCGCGGGGCGGATCGCGCTGGGGAAGGGCCCGATGCGCGGCAGGGGGCGCCGCGGGGCCGGGGCTGGGGCTGGGGCTGGGGCTGGGGCCGGGCCGGGCCGTCCCGGGCCGCGGGGCCCTGCCAGAGCCGGGGGGGACAGGGCCGGGCTAGGTTCCCGAGGGCCCCCGGGCCTGGCCCTTGGGGGGGTCCCGGTGCCCGCCCGCCCCGCGGAGCCGGGCCCTGGACCCGCGGCCCCCCAGAGCCGGCGGCGCGCCCCCCAGAGCCGGCGGCGCGCCCCCCAGAGCCGGCGGCGCCCCCCAGGCCGCCCCCCGAGCCGGGGGCGCCCCCAGAGCCGGCGGCGCGCCCCCCAGAGCCGGCGGCGGCCCCCAGCCGGGCGCCCCAAGAGCCGGCGGCGCGCCCCAGAGGGCGGCGCGCCCCCCAGCCGGCGGCGCGCCCCCCAGAGCCGGCGGCGCGCCCCCCAGAGCCGGCGGCGCGCCCCCCAGAGCCGGCGGCGCGCCCCCCAGAGCCGGCGGCGCGCCCCCCAGAGCCGGCGGCGCGCCCCCCAGAGCCGGCGGCGCGGCTCAGCCCTGCTTGGGTCCGGTCGCGGCCGCGCGCAGCCGGGGGGCTGGCGACCCGCTGCCGCCTAGCTCTGGCCGGAGGGGAGCAGGAGAAGGGGCCGGGGGGGCCCGCCGGGGGCGGGCAGGCATTTGCCAGGCCTGCAGGTTCGGGTTGGAGGTCACGAGCGTGACCCCGAGTCCCTGGAAAGGGGCTCTGGCTGGCTTTGGAGGGAAGCCTGTTGGCCTCGGGTAGCCGGCTCAGCTGGGGAGAAGTTGTTGCTGTGGCTTCCTGGAGAGTGGCCACCCGCTGGGGAGCGAGTGGCTGGGTGGCTAAAGTGGCCTGACTCAGTTGTGTGGTGCAGGGACGGCACATAGGTGTTCCCCTTGTGCAGAAGGCTTCACCACCCGTCCTGGCCGCAGGCCGAGTTCTGACCTGCGCCCCTCCCTAGGTGCAGCCTCCAGTACACAGGGTGAAAACGTGTGTGTCCCAGGCGTGAGCTGGTGTCCTTTCAGTCTCCAGGCACACATCCTGCCCTGCGGTAATACTGCATGCTTGCCTCAGGCCAGGTGCTCCAACAACAGGAGCTGCAAATGTCAAGTGGGTGGCACAGATTCCTCTCCGGGCTCGCCCTCTGTTCTCTCCAAGGCAAAGGAGCCCAGTGCCATCTTGTTCTTCCTCTTCGTTCACACCCTTGCTTGTCTCTGCTACTCCCAGTCCTCCCCTCTGAACTTTACTCTTGTCTCCTATCTCATATACCTGGCCTTCTTTGGCAGCCTTGTCACATACCTGATGGCTCTACCCCTTCTGAGCACCTCGCTCTGCCTGCATCATCTCTCACCTGGGCTACTGAAACTCTTCCTGAGGGCCACCCCAGTTCTTCGGTGCTGGACCATTCTCCTTGCCCCCAACAGTTGCTACTGCTTCCCTCTCCCTTAGTGGGTGCCTTGGTTCTAAGGGAGTTCCTGTCCTGTTACAGCTAGCAACACATCTGTGACCCGGAGAAGAATTCAGGGGCCCATTCCTAAGAGAGGCATCTTTGATTGGAGAGAAGGTAAAATTCAGCTGGGGCTGCACCAGTGGGGCCCCTGTCTTCTTGGTTTCAAATTCATGTCTCCTGCACTCTGAAGCCAAAGCTGGAGGGAAGCTGCATGTGCTGTATAAATAAGGCCCCTGGACCCAGGTGGATAGGTGGCTGAGGGCAATTGTTTTGGGACACAGAAGGTCGGATCTTCAATTGGGAACAATCACATGTGACGGTGCCCGCCTCTTGCTGCAGGGCAGCATGCTGTCCCTTTGCAGCTGAGCCTGCAGCAGGTGCCATGCACAGACCTCTGCATTGCAGGGCAAAGGCACTCTGACTCTTGTCATTGCCTGACTGCTTTGTAGCATGAGAGCTCCTTCTCCCTTCCAGGCCACTGCATCAATGTTCCATTGAGAGATTCCTCCTCCCCTCCCAGTTGTGCTGGATGGCAGTGCCAGGCCTTGTGCACTGCCTGTAATAAAACATTGACTTTCATGAGCTCCAGCTCGCGTAGGTGCATGGCCTCTGTGTGGGTTTCTCTCCGGAACATCTGTGGGAAGGAGGCTCTTGGGACCCTTGCAGCAGTAGCACTAGGAGGCCAGTGCCAGACTCTCATGAGGCTTGTGGCTTTATCATGCACAGGGGATCTGTGCTGCTGCTTGTGTAGGGAGGGGGAGAAGAATTTCTAATCTGGACCACATAATTCAGTAGCTGTCAGCCCCCACTCCTGGGCGGGACTGCGGGTGACTCAGCAGCTTACTGTCCCGCTTCTTCCCCCTCTGCATGTGCTTGCCTTTCCTTAGAGCCTTCTTGGGATGTGGTCAGCATGTGTGGTGGGTGAAGTGGGGCTGTACACAGAGGCATTGTGGAGCTGGTGGGCAGTTCTTGTATGTGCATCTGGGCTTACTCCTGCTGCCTGGCAACAGGAGTGGCAGTCTCTCTGCCGTGCTCTGTACAGCTGCCCCTGGGATGACTTGCTTTGTTTTGGGTACCTTAATAACTAGCGAAATGGGAGAGTTCAGAGATGCTGGAGGCAGCAGCCTGGCAAAGAAGTGGCTGCGGTGGAGAGGGGTGAAATGAGAGAGGCAAGTGGCTGCAGGGGCGATAAGCAGACTGGGCTGATAGACGGGGAACTCCTCCTGTCAGGCAGCTAAGGAAACTTGCCTTGGGAAGGTCTCTGCCCCAGGCCTGAAGGGCATCAGCCACTGTGTGGATGGCAGGCATGTATCCTGCTGCTGCGGGTTACAGGCTCTGGGCTGGGCCCTCTTCGCACCTTGCAGAATGTGGACAGGGCAGATCCTGGGCTCGGCTGTGCTGACCTTCCAGCCAGACCTGCTAAACAGCTTCCCAGGTATAGAGGGCTCCCTGAATCAAACTGCCTGCCTAGTGGCTAGGGACTGGAGTGACACTGCTGGACACTGCCTCATGATCCTGGGTAGGCAGACAGGTGCTCGAAGGGCTCAGCTAGCATGCTGAAAATAGCTGTGTGGACATTGTGGCTCTGGCAGCAAGTCAGGCTAGCCATCTGAGCTCAAGCCTGGGCAGTTGTATGATCTTGAGCTTGGGTGGCTAGCCTATGGGAGTGTCTACACTAGAAATGCTGCAATGTAGACACTATTGCAACAGAAGGGGTTTTCTGTCTCTGCAGTAAATCCACTTCTCCAGGAGCTGGTAGCTAGGTTGATGAAAAGTCGAGTTAGCAGTGTCTACACTGAAGCTTAGGTTGGCTTAACTATGTCTCTCAGGGGAATGAACTTTTCCTACTCCCTGAGCAATGGAGCTAGGTCAACATAAGTTTGTAGTGAAGCTCTGCCCAAGGCGCAGTGTCCGTACAGCCATTCTTAGCATACTAGCTTGAGCCCTGCTAGTGTGAGTCTGTCTGTCTGGGCTAGGAAGCTTGCTTCCTGATGCAATGTAGACATGCCCCTAGAGCAGCGGTAGTCTATTTTTTGTCACAGTCCAAATTTCTTGGTCAACATATAGTCAAGGTCCAGACTCTGGAGGAAAAAAATAATTTTTCTCTCTCTCTTTCCCCCCCCCCCCCACCCCATGATGATAAGTAAATAAGATTTTGGGATCCGCTCAAAAGCATCTGGCAGTCTGGATTTGGCCCACGGTCCGCCTGTTGACTTCCCCTGCCTTAGAGGTTAGTGCATACTGGTCACCCTGCAATTCTTTGTTCCAGTGACAGTGCCCAGTCTTCAGAGTAACATCCTGGCTCCAAGCTGCTACATGCTGCTTTCTCTACCACACCACATGGTGTGGAGCTTCCAGGCCCTGCAACGCACAAGCCAGGCCTCTGCTGGGTTCTGGTCTGTGCAGTTTCAGGGGGAATGAGGGAAGGAGTAATGCCACTAGGTATGGGAATTTAGATGGTCCCCCAGGGCAGAGAGTTGCATGGGAGGAAGCACAAGACCCCAATTCCCCACTCGCTCCAGAGCAGGTAGGACAGCTTGTTTGTTTGTGGGGGAGTGGGTAGCAAGCCTTGTGCTTCCTGAATCTCTGAGCCATGCTGAGTGAGTCTTCCTGGTGCTGTGCGAGTTGGGGGGAGGCCCAGGGTCTCTTTCAGGTTGCATTGTCTTCTCCCCCCATGTTGGTCTGGATTCAGGGGAACCGCCTATATGCCCTACAGGAGTAGTAGCAGGGAGAGAGCATTCTCTCCCTGTACCTGGCCTGCATACGGACTGAGCAGGGCAGGTACAGGCACTGATCCTCCTGCAGCGATGGGGAGGGGTGAATGGTGTTCTGTGCTCTGCTCTTCCCCAGTGCTGCAGAGCCATGAGGAGCATAAACCCTCAGAGAGGCTCTGGAAGAAACCTCCACATGTTCAATTAGATGGTGGCCTGCCTGAGCCCTGCCACTGCACAGCTGCTGGGGCAGAGGGAGCTCTCTGGCTGAAATGTCTTGCCCTTTCCTGTCAGACGGGTGGAGCAAGTTTAGATGCCTCTGGAAAAGAGCCAGTCCCTAAGAACAAGAACTTCTCCATGCCGGGAAGAGCAGAGATGCTAGGCTCTGGAAATGCAGTCATCCCTGCTGGCCCAGAGTGCTGGGGAAGCTGTCACTTTCTGATAACAGCAGTATGAGTTTGGATGCTATACTCTCCTGCCTTCTTGGAGCGTTCTCTAGCTCCAGTGGAGGAGCGGGGGCTAGAGAATTTGTGGACATGCCTAGGGGCAGGGGATCTCATGGGTTCTTCATTTCCTGTCCTGTGCCCTGTGAAGGCATCATTATGGGAGTAAGTTCACTCTGATCCTCAGAATGGATCAGGATGGGCACCTGTTTACTGGGAGTGAAACCTGAGAACCTGCTGTAGGAAACTACCTTGCTTTGATGCCAGGTATGGTCAGCTAGCTTGCTCCCTGTGGCCTTATAGCATCACTTAGTCTATGATCCTGGTTGTTGCCTATAGGACACCTGGGATGGCTTATCTCATCCCAGCCTGTGATATGAAGGTCAGTCCGTGTCTCCCAGGCTCTGCCTGGGGCCCCTGGGAATCTGCAGTCAGGTTCTGGGCTGATCGGTGCATCCCCATGGGCATCGAATCCAAAGGTTACCCTGGATCATGCTTTTCTCTAGTGATCGGTGGGAAGAGTGGGGCTGCAGGGAGGGCAGGGCCTTTCCTGTCCCTCTGCCTCTGTGGCCTTGACCTGTCAGTCTTTCCATTGTTGAGGTAGGGGCTGGGGAGCCTGTGTGAAGATGCTCGTGTGCCTCGGGTTTATTGGGAAACGTGACTTCCCCATAGGATTGGAGCCCCACCAGAGTGTTATCAACACAAAATGCCCTTTGCCCTACATAAAGAGTGTGTGGGGAGGGGAGAGACGCTGGCTATGGGGAAGTGACCTCTCAGAGCAGGGTGTGGGGGCCTGGGGTGTCAGATGTTGCAGAAGTGCATTCCATAGCCTAGTTCTGGCTCCTAGGTAAACTTTCTTTCTCCCTTCTCCACGCTCCCTTTGCTGGCTGATAGCTGCATTCTGCTGGGAGGTAGATAGCCCTCAGGGGAGGTTGTGCTTGCAAAGGGAGAGGCATCTCTTGGGTAGTCAGGGCTGATCCCAGGGTGGGGTTTCAGTCCTCACAGTGCCCTCGAAGTCTTTCTCCTGGTTCTTGCTTTCCAGACCCTTTAGTGTGCCTGTGCCCTTCTTCAAGCTCTCTGTTCAGTCCCTGTCGAAGTATGATGCTGCGGCCAAGGCCGAGCCAGGCCAAGAGAGTGGAGTAGTAACTGCTAACTACAGGGGCTGTCCCAGCAATCAAATTGAAGCCTTGCAGCATGGAATTTGAACTTGTGTATGTTTTCAAATAACCGAGGTGGGTGCTAGTGAAGCCCTGTCTGTTCTCACCCAGTAGTGGGCTCCCCTGGGGCTTTGGGCCAGGGAATGGGACTTCCGGCTCTGCCTCTGGAAGCCTGTCCGCCTAACCCATGTACCTGTCAGGAAGCTGTTCCCCTTGGGACTTAACTGCACTCTTCCCTTTCTTGTAACACTGTTCCTCCACACACACTCCCCCTTCTACCCCAGCTAGTTTTGCTCTGCCTTGGCCTCTCCACGCTTTCGATATTTGTATAGAGCTGCTGGGATCCACCTTCTTAATCATCGTTGGGCTGGGCTGCCTGTGGTTGTGTGGTCTAATCACCTTCCCACACAATTGTTGTTGATTACTAGCGCAATGTTGGAGATTCCACACACCCCACAGACTGCAGGCAGCTCAGAGCAGGAAGAGCTCTTGCTCTGATAACACTAATCTCATCCCTTCCTGCTCCCGATGCTCTGGCCAAGCCTCTCTGGTTGCTGCTCCCTTTTTTACCTTTGCTTGTTTCTGATTCTGTGCCACTGCTCGTGGAGGCTGTGTTCAGACATATTAGTGCAGCTGCTCCTCTTGATAGATTCACTGCTGTGAGGCAATGAGAATTGAAGGGTACGTCTATACTGCCAAAAAAGATCCGTGACAGGGAGTCTCAAGGGCCTGGGTCAATTGATTTGGGCTTGCAGGGCTCAAGCTAGAGGGATAAAAATAGCAATGCAGATGTTCCCACCCAGGCTCTGAGACCTGGCTGTGTGTGTGTGATTTTTTCTTTTTTTTTTTTCCCTCCCCACATACACACAGTCTCCGAGCTCAGGCTCCAGCCCAAGCAGGAATGCCTGTACTGCTATTTTTTTATCCCCATAGCACAAGCCCTGCAAGTGTGAGTGAGTGGACCTGGGCTCTGAGACTTGCTTCTGCTCTCTTCTCTCCACACCCCCTTTTGCTCTTTTCTAAGATTTCATTCAAGGTCCTTGAAGGGCTTTATAAACATTCCTGCAGCCTGCCCAAGTCCTTCAAAGGCAAGGAAGTGATATTGAAACACCACCCCCTTCACAGATGGTGAAACTGACTTGCAGAGATGGGAAGTGACTTGCCTAATGTCACTTGGTGATTCTGCAGTAGAGGCAGGAATAAAATCCAGACCAACTGACTCCAGGCCTGTGCTGTAACTGCACAGGCCCCTTCCTCTCAGCAGTGGGGCTGGCTGCCAGTTGTGTTTTTTTTTTTTTGCAATCCCAGACCCTCCCTACCCATATGGAGTTTATTAAACACTCCCTGTTAACACTTGTGCCTTGTGAACTTTTGAAATCCAGTACACTAGAGGAACAGATGCAGAGCATGCAGTCAATTCACTAGTGTGATGCCACCAGCCCCGAGCTAGCTTAACATTCTTGGGTTCTAAAGAAGTGGGTTTTTTACCCACAAAAGCTTATGCCCAAATAAATCTGTTAGTCTTTAAGGTGCCACCGGACTCCTTGTTGTTTTTGTGTGATGTAGGAATCTGTTTGGTTAAGGGTGTTCTGCTGGAGAGATCTGTGTAGGGAACTCCCCCAGGAGTTCACTGACCTGGGCGTTTGAGTATTTTGGTCCAGCAGAACTCTTCAGTCTTTTTCTGACTTGCAAACCTGCACCAGGCATGTGGAATCAAATGGTAGGAAGGGAAAGCTCACCTTTGCCCTATTTTAAAGCTGCTGAACTTGTTCTGCCAGACTTGAATCCAAGAGATTGGTGCCATGATGCTGGAGTTTTTTGCTAGGTACAGGAGACTGCTGAGTTGTCTTCATGGCATCTCTGTAGCTACTCTGGGAGGCACAAGTCTAAGCATCTCTGGGTTGCAGTCTGATGTCTTCAGGAAATGACACTGCTGGAGGGTCTGCTCCTTGGGCAGACACTCCAAGCAGCCTGATCGGAGGCTGGAGTCCTTGGCTGCTTCCTGCCTTTCTGAGAGTTAGAAATCTCCTCATGTGTCAGGTGCTGCTGGGGCTGTAGGGAACAATGCTGAATTCAGTGCCTTTTTCCTCACTTTGGTCTGTTGCTCCAACCCGCTAAGGGGTAGATATTGAGTAAGGTTTTGCCCCGACCACACTGGGGGAAGAGATGGGCTTGGCTGTCCCATAATACTCAGCATGGCAACTTTGGAACGTAGCGTATCCTCAGCATGATGGTACTGCTTGGCCTTTGCTTATTCAGTTCCTCACCTGTATAGAAGTGCTTGGGCAGCATCCCATGGCTGCTTCTGTGAGCGACCTAATCGTCGGCCATGGCTGTTTGCCATTGTGACAAAGCAGGACTGTTCTTAATGTTTCCTCTGAATAGTGTGGGGGTGCTTCAGTTTCTCTTATGCAGTTCTTAAGTATCTAGGGGGTGGGATAAGGGTGTATGATAGTTGCAGAGCCCTAGAGGGCAGGTGTGTGCAGGGGTCTGGACTCGGAGAATGGCCAACACCCTGTTTCCTGGCAACTGATGGCCTGGGCCCTTCCCCCCTGCAAGGTGAGAGCTAAAAGGCTGGAGAGAAAGGAATCCAGTGACCTCCTGGCCCGGGAAAGGGACAAAGCCCAGAGGAGGAGGGGCTGGAGAGAGTTTGGGGCTGGCTGGGGACATGGAGTGAAGTGCAGACGGGGTTGTCTGGCTCACTGCCCCCCAAAATGGACCCATCTGAGGGGTCCTGTTCTCTGTACCTACAAGCTCTGTTTTAGACCATGTTCCTGTCGTCTAATAAACCTTCTGTTTTTCTGGCTGGCTGAGAGTCACGTCTGACTGCGGAGTTGGGGGGCAGGACCCTCTGGCTTCCCCAAGACCCTGCCTGAGCGGACTCGCTGGGGGAAGCACACAGAGGGGCAGAGAATGCTGAATGCTCCGAGGTCAGACCCAGGAAGGTGGAAGCTGTGTGTCCTGAAGACAGGCTGCTCCCAGAGAGGAGACTTCCCCAGAGTCCTGCCTGGCTTCATGGGGAGCAGTTCCAGAGCATCTCCCAGGGACTCCGTGACAACTGGTGGCAGGGGTGGGATGTACTGCACCCCGTGGATGGCGCTTCCTTCAGTAAGTGACTGGGGAGCAGTAAAACGAAGGGAGACTGACGAGGACCAGGCATGCTGAAGGTTCAGAGAGGAGTGGTTTCGGGGGGGGCGGTTAATCCCTGGGAGTGTGTGACCAGCAAGAAGGACTGTGCAGTAATGGGGTCCCCCTGGGGACTGCAGTGAGCAGTCTCAGGGCTGGAGGAGCCTGCGGCTTGCCCCTGGGAGAGAGAAGGACTTTTGCAGTAACAGGGTTCCCCTGGGGATTGCAGCGAGGAGTCTGCAGCTCGACCCTGGCAAAGAGGTGGTGACCTTGAGAAGGGCTGGCACACTAGGGGTTCTCCCTGGAAACCATGGGGAGCTGAGAGCACACAGGCCTGTGAGTCCACAACAACTTGGGAACAGCAGAATGAGGGCCTATCACCGTCTCCTTAAGAAGGACATTGTAGCCCTGTGCAAAAAGAGAGGGTTACACATTGGAAAGTTCACCAAAGCACAGTTAATCGTGCAGCTGGAGGAGGATGACCGCTCTAAGGAACAGATTCCTGACCCAAATGGGGCTATAGCAGGATCTGGGAGCAGCTGGAGTAGTAGCCAGGCATCCCTAAGACTCCAGTCCCCACCAGACAAGGGTCTTCACGATCGGGTTCCCCATTGGGGGATTGGAGACGGACGGGATTGGAGCTGAGTCCGAGAGAGCAAGAGGACTGTGAGAGACAGCGAGAGCCCGAGAAAGCTGCAGGAGCATGAACTGGCGATGGTGGAGCGGAGAGGCATAGGGGACCTCCCAGGGGTGAGTGGGGATAGACCCCGGGGGGCCAATTCTGCAGGGAACCTCAAGACTAAATTGCTGCCCCTGGTTAAGGATGGAGGGGATGTGGATGCCCACCTCACTGCCTTTGAGCAGGCTGGAGATTTGAACAAGGGGAACCCTGCGGAAAAGCCCTGGTGTCTAGCTCCCTTGCTGGGTCCCAAGGCCATAGACTCTGTCAGCCAAATGAGTGGGGAGGTGGACAGGCTCCCACTCCTGACCCCAACCTATATGTCTATGTGGCGTTTCCTGGGGTTGGGCCCCTCGGACCCCCAGTGGGAGCGGAAGGTGATGGTCAATGGGGAGACATTCCTGGGGTGGCGAGATCCTGGGACAGAGAGAACTGTTGTCAGGCCCGTGGTGGTGCAGCCTCAGATGCTGAGGGGCTGGGTGAGGGTCCCAGGGATGAAGCACCTCTCCCTGCCTATGGCCCAGATCCCTGTGCAGACACAGGAGGGGTAGGGCTGGCTGGTCGTTGGGGTTCTCCAGGATATCGGCTGTGAGCCCCTGTTGTGGGGTGACTGTCTCTCTTTGGGACAGGATCCAGGCCCTGCTCCTGTAACAGCCGAGGGTTTGAATTTGAATCCAGGGAACCAATCAGGGGAGAGGGAAACAGTCAGTGAAAATGCAGATGACCTGGCTGGCAGCGGGGAGGAGCTGCTAGGCTTAGGATACCTGCCTGCCTGTAACCAGACCCCTGGGACTGGGTGGGACAGAGGGATGCTCCCCGCCCCCTTGCACACCGGCTCTGATGCAGTGAGGAAAGCAGCGAGTTCGCTGCCTGCCCCCACTGGGACAGCAAGGGCAGCGCTGAGCACAGTGGGAACTGAGACCCCAGCTGGGGGGGAGGGGGGGAGACACAGGCAGGGCAGGGGATCTGTTGGGAGTGGCAAGGTGCTTGGTAAGGAAAGTTTGGATGAGCCTAGGCAGGCTTGTGAGCTGATGGCTTTGTCTAGTCAGCAGGGTGGGAAGGCGAGGAGAGTGGAAGATGAGTGTCCCTGTACCTTACCTGTTACCTGGGTGGAGAATTGGGACAGTGAAGGAAATGTGCCCGTGTCTTTCAGGGGTATTGACTTCCCTATGGAGGGAGCTACCCCGGTTTCCAAGCAGTTGTCTGTGAACAGCCTTGTTTGCTGGGATCAGGGGAATGAGATCCCAAGCTGGGTGTCTGGTAAAGGAGAAAGTGTCTCCGGCTCTTCTTTGTCTGTGGAGCAGACAGAAGGGGCCTTTCAGCCTGTGATGGTTGAGGGTCGTGCAGTTGTCTCAGAATTTGGATTCAGCTAAAGCCCAGGAAGGGAATGGTCCTAAGTTTGTGTCTGCTAGGGAGATTGGATGCGACCTTGTTACAGTGCCAGTTAGTGTCTATGTAAAATCCCAGAGACCAGATAATTCTGGTGCTTGTATTTTGCCTGTTGCTAGTGTGTTGTTGGGAAAGGGTGTAGCAACTGTGTCTAATCAGGGTGAGATCCTAGCCAGGGCACAAGGAGAGCATGAAGGTGATTTGATTGTGTTACCTACTGAGGGTGTGGAAGCCTGTAGCAAGAAGGAAAAGATTCCTGAACTTGTGTGTGGCAAAGGGAAGGAGAATGCTTCTGACCTTTTATCTTGGAAGTCTGTTTGCCTGAAAGGGGATTGTGTAGGAATCCGCTTGATGGGCCAGAGGTAATTCTGGATGTAAGTGAGACCCAGAAAGAGTCTGTTGTTGCTCAGGAAAGTGTTCCTCTAGGTCAAGCCCTAAATAAAGAGGGTAAGGGCAGAATTTCTGTGAGGGGTGAATTGTTGCATAGAAAAGCCCCTAGGGAAAGGAATCCTCATGGAGTCTTTGCAAGCAGTTTACTGCAACTGAAGGGTGTGAAAGTGATTTAACCAAGAAAGTTTCAGTTCCTAACAGCCAGAAATTTTCTGTTGTGAATGGATCCACTGACTTTCCTGTTGAAGGATCCAGTGTGGATAACTTTGAGAAGGTCTCAGATGAAGTGAAAGCTGTTAAGAAAGTTAAACTGTCCTGTAACCAATTGGCTGTGTTTGGCCAGCTTGTTGGGGAGAAGACCCAATCCCAGTTTGACCACCGGGTGTTTTGGGGTGGCAAAAGGGCACGGGCCACATAAACCTTCCCGCATGCGAGTGCTATCGACCACCCTGACCTAAGGGAAGGCATGAAACTGGAAGGGCCTGGTGTAACTCCCACCAAGGAACGGGAGAGATGCTGGGGCATCCATGGGAACGTTGGTGGCTTCAAACTTCCCCAGGTCACCAGCTAAAGTGACCCCGCTAAGTCCGGTCTCGAAGGGGGGAGGGATGTGACGAAGCGGGACTGTTCTTAATGTTTCCTCTGAATAGTGTGGGGGTGCCTCAGTTTCTCTTATGCAGTTCTTAAGTATCTAGGGGGTGGGATAAGGGTGTATGATAGTTGCAGAGCCCTAGAGGGCAGGTGTGTGCAGGGGTCTGGACTCGGAGAATGGCCAACACCCTGTTTCCTGGCAACTGATGGCCTGGGCCCTTCCGCCCTGCAAGGTGAGAGCTAAAGGGCTGGAGAAAAAGGAATCCAGTGACCTCCTGGCCCGGGAAAGGGACAAAGCCCAGAGGAGGAGGGGCTGGAGAGAGTTTTCAGTTTGGGGCTGGCTGGGGACATGGAGTGAAGTGCAGACGGGGTTGTCTGGCTCACTGCCCCCCAAAATGGACCCATCTGAGGGGTCCTGTTCTCTGTACCTACAAGCTCTGTTTTAGACCATGTTCCTGTCGTCTAATAAACCTTCTGTTTTTCTGGCTGGCTGAGAGTCACGTCTGACTGCGGAGTTGGGGGGCAGGACCCTCTGGCTTCCCCAAGACCCCGCCTGAGCGGACTCGCTGGGGGAAGCACACAGAGGGGCAGAGGATGCTGAATGCTCCTAGGTCAGACCCAGGAAGGTGGAAGCTGTGTGTCCTGCAGACAGTCTGCTCACAGAAAGGAGACTTCCCCAGAGTCCTGTCTGGCTTCGTAGGGAGCAGTTCCAGAGCATCGCCCAGGGAGTCCGTGACAGCTGTGTACTAAGTCAGTCTCTGACTTCCCTCCAGCTCATCGGCCTCTCCGGTACTGAGGTGCCTGGAGTGCAGTGTACTACCCCAAGTGCAGCTGCACCAGTGCTGTGCATACAGGGGTGACTGTTCTGATGTGTAGTATCTAGGTGTTGATCTTTCCTTCCCGGCTGGGACATGCGACCTCTGCCTATGCAACTCTTAACCCCATCTGCCTCTGTTGCTGCCATACTGTAGTGCAACCCCTGTCTAATCTCCTGTTGCCCTCTGCTGGGTATTCCTAAAGGTCCCATGACTGTGACCTGTGTGCTGTCCGCATTCCCACTCGTGGGCCCCTCCCTCCCTCTGATTAGCTTTGCTTTGGCTTGGTCTACATTAGCAACTTACGTCTGTGTACCTATGTCGCCCAGTGTAGGCAGCGCTATGTCAAGGGGAGGGCTTCCCGCTCAGCATAGCTGCCGCCTCTCGGGGGGGGGGTGGAGTACTTAGATCGTTGGGAGAAGCTCTCCTGTCAGTGTTGGAGTGTCTTTGCTTAGGTGCAACAGCGGTGCAGCTGCATCAATGCAATGTTAAATGCAGACCTGCCCACAGTGACAGGTCTGTCACTTTTCCTGTCAGGCTGCCCTGGTACAGTGTTTCAGTGGAGTTAATTGGGGAGGGGAGTAAGAAATCAATTCCCACCCCTTCAAGGCCCTATTTATAATGTTGGGGCGGGGGGGAGCAGGGCTCTTGAGCCTGGAATGGAGGAGGACAAGGTCAGCTGAGGTAGGGTTGCCTGCCCTTCAAAGTGGGATATAAGGCAAGTTCTGTCACTTGGGTCGGGGGAAGACAAGGGGAAGTCCTGGCCCTTGACAGCATCCCTGTCTTCTCCTGGCTGCCACCTGCAGCCACATGGGGTCTAGATTCTCCTCCGACGGTAGAACTGACTCCTGCTGGCAACTGCTCCTACCGTTTTAAAGTGCTTGGCTGTTTTCAGTGCATTGCTTTTCCTAGGCAGCAGAATCTCTGTCCCTGCTCAGCCAGCACTAACTGTGTGTGAGAGATACTGTGTCTTATCTCTGGGCTGGCACCAGGTGCTGCAGCACCCCTCATCAGGGCAGTGACTCATGAATGGCATGCTGAGAATGCACGTCTCAGGGAAAGAGATGCCCTGCTGATTTCTGGAGTGATAGGAAATGTGATGTGAGGCTTTTTGAGCT